AACCCCAAACCCTAAACTCCTAAGCCCCAAACCCCAAACCCCAAAGGCCCTAAATCCTAAACCCTCAACTCAACGAGTCCACAAAAAAAAAGCCGAGCTTCGGCGCATGCTCTCCGCAAAGTCCAAGGCTCCAGAGGACATCCTGGGATTCTGAGCTCAGGGCTTGTAGGAGTAGGGGGTTTCTAAAGGGTTTCTAGGTGTCATATAAGGCAATACGGATTTGAAGGCTTTATTTATAAGGGTCTGTGGGATCTTTTTTGGTTGGATGAGAAAAAACTATTGCAGTGACACCTGCGGGCTCGCTGGAAGTTCTACGGCAGGGACCTATAAGCACCCCACTTTGTCAGCATCCCAAGGCAGAGTGATCTCACGAATGCCCCATTTGCAACTACCTACCAGCGACATCATTGTTGCTTGGGAGTACTTTGGCCCGCTCTCATTCCCCACATGGTACGAAGGCATCCTGAAATCCTTCAACTACAGTATCTACAGCAGATGGGAGGACGGCTCCCGAATCCAGCATCTCGACAAACCCTATTAGACACCGTATGGTAGGAAACACCTTATCAGCGAACTTTAAACTCAAGAAGAGAACCCACCAAAAATGTCCCAACTGCTCCCAAACCCATAACCCCCAAAAACAGCAAGAATAGTACCAATACTAACACTACCACTAATAATGTTAAGAACAGGACTAACTCAAAAATTGCTGCCAACGCCAGCCCGGGATCTGCTCTAGCTCAGCCAGCTGGATCTTTCCGTCCTCGAAGGCCCCCAGATGGGAGGTGTTGGATTGAGGCCTTTGGGGGCCTTTAATGGGTTTCGTGGCTTATATAGGTCTTATAGGGTTTAGGGTTGAGGTAGCAGCAAGAGCAAAACACCTCTGGCCCTGCTTATCATCGAACCTGAATGAAGCTTGCGGTTGTTGTCGTGATGCTGAAGTCTTCCCTCCATGAAAACCTAAACCCCATGACATGAGTCCTGGGTCCAAAACCTCGTGAATCCTAAACCCCAAAAACCTCTGAAGGGATTGTTTAGGGCTTCGGGGGTGGACCTCTGATGCCTCCACGAAAGTCCGAGGAGCACCGTTCGTGTCCACCCTCTGAAAGTCCACAGGCCCACTTTTGGCCTGGAACTCACTCCTTGGGGCTGTCAAGTAGTGTGCCGGTCATGAGCTTTAGGTCGTAGGGACAGGGCTAAGGACTTTGGGGTTGTAGCGTTGCGGGTGAGGGGCTCACGGCGCAATGCTCCAGTGTCAGCTTGCATTTAGCGTCTGGCTTTACCAGACTTAGGAGTGGGACGACCCTTGTATGGAGATGGAACTAGCCCTCCCGACTGGAAAGACACGACCGTCTCTTGAATGTGAGTGAAGCGACAACTATCATAAGCAGGGACTGGAGTCCTGAAAAGTAGGAGAGCAGCTTCACGAGAATCAGCTTGCCACTGAGTATGACTGCATAACAGAGCAAGCATGGCAAACATAAGCTGGCTGCCCCAGCATACCCTGAGGGGTGGGGAAGGGGTCTCATGCCCAGTCTGTACGACAAAGCCCCCTTCCTGCACTGCCGAGCGGCTCGGAAAGAACGCCATCTTCATCCTTATCCAAGGTGTCCATCAGGTGTGCAGCCTCAACCGCAGATGCCTGGGGGCATTCTTGCGAAATGCACAGGCCTGAAGACCTACACCTTGCGGTGTAGGATCGCCCTGCATCGGGCCTGAACCCAACTACTCCAAACCCTACGGCATGACAACACTGCCAGCAGTTAGTACTCTGCCCGCCTTCGTGTCCAAATTCGGGTGGAAGAAGAGGACAAGCTCAGATTGCGACAAGACCTGACGCCGCCATATTCTACTCGGCAGGTGAGTGGAGCCAGAAAAATCAGGTGAGTGACGGAAACGGTGTTCCCATCCACCGCTCCACTCTAGCACTCTAGAGTGTGTGTTTGCCTGAGAAGCGTCTTCCCCTGGTACCTGATTCTACGTTGCGAAGGTCCCTGCCTTGAGGAGATGCTTCGGATCCCAGCTCGAAAGCCCCGGTATACCCAAGCCTGGATCCGAAATTGTCAAAAAAAACAAACATGGGGTACATAAAACTCTAACCACCCAGGTATGGCGTAGGGTTTCGGGTTCAGGGTTTAGGGTTTAGCGCCAAGGGACCTGTGCATGTCGCCCCAAGGGCTCTCCAAGGCTCTGTGAATCAACTCCAAACACTTAGCCCATCACCTTCAACGCGGCGTCCCACGGC